GCGCACAGGGGGGGGGGGGGGATGGCGGATGATGGGAACTGCGGTCCAACACGGTCCGCCAAGCCCTGGGCTCCTCCTCGCCGGCTTTCCACCCACAGCCGCCGCCGCCGCGCGAGTCCTCCTGACCGCCAGGGGGCGCTGCCGACGCGCTGCCGGGCCTTTCGGGAGATCTCGCGCGCCTCGGACGTTCCATTCCGCCCACGTGACCGGCGTGTAACACCGGGAGGGAGGGGGGAGGAGGAGAGAGAAAAAAGGTTACATTGTAGCTAGGCCGGGAGCGGCGCGCGCGAGAGAGGAGGGGGGGCCCGGCGGCTGCACGTGTGAAAGGCGCGGGAAAGGGGGAAGGAGGCGGCCCCCGTGCCCGCGCGTCAACCGCTGCTCTTCCCTTCCTCGCCAGGGACCGGCCTCTGCCTCCGTCGTCCCGGGACCGGTGGTTGGCCTTCTCGGCGCAGGCCGGCCCGGCCCGGCTCAGCCCATGGCCGGCGGAGGGTGGACGCTGCCCGGAGGGGATTTCTTGTCCCCGCATCCGCCGAGCCGTGGCGGGAGCCGCAAGAGAGCGACCGGCACTGGGCGCTCCGCCGGCAGTTCCTGCTCCGCAACCGGGCGGGCTACCCGGGGGAAGCCGCCTTCCGACAACTCCTGGCCCTCTCGCACGTCTGGACCAACCATGTCTTCATGGGATGCAGGTAAAGAGCAGGGGGAGGGGGGGTTGAGAGGAGCGGCCGCATCTTCCTGTCTCTTCCCCCCCCCGACCCGCAAGAAACCCCCCTTCCCCCGTCCACACGTGAGCCTCGAGGGGCCTGATCCTGCCTCGATCTTCTCTCGAGGGCCGTCACCCAGGGGCGGGGAGAGCCAGGCCCCTTGAAGCGGTGGAACCTCGACTCCCCCGGTGCCCCCCCTCCGGTTCCCATGGGTCTACTCGGGGGAGGACTTGCTCCGGGATGCCAGCCACCAGGATCCGATGGCTGCAGGAGAGGGAAGCCCGGGTTGCGCACAGCTGCACCTCGGGACCCCCTGCTCACACGCACACGCACACACGTGTACAGTACCCGCTAGGGCCTCCCCATTCATTGCTTCGTGGCCTTTCCAGATCCTCCCCGGATCTGCGGCTCTTTTCCCTTTTCCCTCCTTGCCTGTCGTCGGTTTTCTCTTGGGTGGTGGGAAACGCTTTGAAATGTGGACACCCTGTGAGGAGCAAAACCTTAGGAAGAAGGAGAGAAAAAGCCTCTTCTGGCGCCTTAGGACTCGCTCACTCACTCAGGTATGGGTGGCAAAAGAGCCCCTCCTTGGCACTCCAGAGACTGGGCAAAAGGCGTCAGGCTTCAGAGTGGCACAGAGCTCTGTTAGGGCCAAATTGCTACCCTTTGGAAGAATGATTTATAGCCTGGTTTATGGAAGTTACTCTACTGTTATCCTAACCGGCAGGGAGACCAGACCACAAAACAATTGCAGGTGGCATTCAAAGCCTCTAGTTGTTGTTGTTTTTTTTAAACAAACCCAAACACACCTTTGGAATAACAGTCCAAGCTTATTTGGAAAAATATTTACCTTTTGCTTTCTGTTCTCTTTAAACAGGAAGGGAGGGTGTTCTCTAAATCCTTTCCCCATGGAAAGGTCCCGGGTCCAATGTTTGGGACTGCTTGGGCATCATCAGGCCACAACTTGTTCTGTTCCCCCCCCCCCC